AAGTCCAATCCGGGCTCTGAGTGTTGGCACCCCAAATTCTTCTAAAGAAGAGATGTGTCAATGTGCCTCCTGATCTGCAAGGAGGCAGAGCTGGGGACATCCAAGAGGACAGAGGCATCTGCTCTGGTCTTAGTCTAAATCTCTCCTCTCCTGCATCAACCAGAAAGGGGGTTGGGGGTGGGGAGGTTTAACCTATCGACGGAAGAGAAAGGGGGGAACAACCTCTAGGTAGCAAGCCTCTGGTCTGAAGGTGGTCTCCGCCCCTCAGAAAGGAATGACAGTCCATGCAAAGGCCAAGCCCTGACCCCTCGTCTCCATCACCACCGACTGTGCCTCGGGAACAGTCTGAGGCCCTGAGAGAGGAGGGGAGGCCCCCTGCCACTTTGGCGGATGAGAAGGAACCCACGGAGCTCACAAACTTCCACCTGCCAGAGCTGTGACACCCTGGGAGTCTCAAACAAGGCTCCTCTCCGGGAGCCTGAGGACCCCGTAACAAACAGATCAAGTTGGAAGACATCAGAACGCTGTGGCCTTGTTTGCTTTGAGCACTTAGTGTTAGAGGCAAATTCTAGAAGCAAGGAAGCCCAGCTCAGAAGCTAGACCTCTTCCAAGACCCGATCTGGGCCTAGGTGGCAAGACCCCAGCCCCACAGTCTGTGGGCAATAACAGCATCACTCTCCCACAGCTGCACTGCCACACCCTCTCACCCCAAAACATCACTCCTCTTCCTTCTCCTGAGATGACCTCCAACCGGTACGCAGTACCCTTAGAGGCAGCTAAGTTATCATGGAAAGAGCAGGGGTAGCCTTGATGTCCCCAGCTTTGGTCCCACTGTCTTATCCCAGGATCCCCACTTTCTACTCCGTGACCGACCCACCTCTTCACTCCCCTTCCACCCTCACAGATGCCTGGCACAAGAACATAACCTCCTCCCGCTGCCCCAGCTTGCTAACCCCACTTCCTGCAGAGCCACCCCATCGGTCACCGCATTCATTCTCGACCTGGACATTAGCATTTTTCCTGGGCCCTCTCCCCAAAGCAGCAAGTGCAGCTCTGGGGGCTCCGGGCCTCCAGCCTGCCGCGCCTCCTTCCTTTATTCTGGACAAGACAGGATGGCAGGGCTGGGCCGAGAAGTTGGGGAGACCCTGCACCCTTCCCAGAGGGAGCCGCTCCTTCCCTCTGCTCCCAGCAGCCCCTGTGACGGCCGAAGCTCCTCTCATGCAAGCAAAGCAAGCCCCAGGTTAACCGAGAGCGTCTTCTCTTCTGTTTCCCTGCGTGACCCTAAAAGTACGTCATGTACAATTCTCCCCCACCCACTCTGAGCCTCCCAAAGCTTTTTCTAACAAAACCGGAAGAAGCAGTTCCAGTCACCCACACCCCCATCTGGCCCAGGATCCTAATCCTGGGCTGGCAGTGTCCCTGCTCCGGAAGTCTGTTTCTCCTACTGTTTTGTCAACCTAGGAGAAAATAAATAAATAAAAACCTGCTCAGGGAATTCTACCTCTTCATCCCACCCAGTTTCCGCTGAATGAAAAGGACCCAGGAAGACCGCTGACATCAGTTCCACCTGCAAACGTTCAGGTCCCAAACCAAAAACAAGCTCAGAGGGCATGACAGAGGTCCATGGTTTCTCACCCCGTTCCACCCCCACCGCCCAAGAACAGGATGAGGGGGACACAGGCCTCTTCGGAGGGGGACAGGGACCCTGCCAGCCCTGGGGATGAAGCAGCTTTTCTGCTGAGAAAGTAGAGCTCAAAAGGCCCCTCACATGCCCCCGGCCCCTCACAGAGAGCTCCAGGGGGCAGGCTGGGCAGGACCCCACTTCTCCTGGACTCCCCTTCTCCTTTTGGCCCATTTTCTTTCCCCAAACCATGGTGGCGGCGGCGGGTCCCCCACGTGCTTGATAAACTCCTTCTCAAAACACCTGACCCTGTTCCTGGCCCACGAAACCTCCTTAGCCTGGCACAGCCAAGGCGTCCAGTCAGGATGCAGAGTGGAGGGGCAGGCCGAAGCCGAGACCCGGGAATTGGTCTTTGTCTGAGCTCCTTCTGGCAAGGCTGCCGGACCACAAATGGGAAAGGTTGGAAGACATTTGCTCTCCCATAAGGTGGAGCGTGAAAGCCCTAGGAAACTGAACTGGGCTCACTGCAATTGTTCAGGGACAGAGGACAGAGGACATGTGGTCCTTAGATGGCTGCAACCCATCGTGCACAACCTCACACAGGCACTCCCCCACCCCACCCCAGCACCTGAATGTGTGCCATCCCGGGGACATAGGTGCTGCATTCCGGCACTTCCCATCACAGTCCTTGCAGGAGGTACTGGAATCAGCTTCTGGGGTTAGGAAGGCCCCTGGCCTTCAAAGACACTGTCACTGAAGGAAGCGCTCTTGGGAGGAGAAATGAACCCGTGGCCACTCGGAGAGGGTGGCCTGCGTCCTTCCCTAGCCCTTGGCAACAGCTGCCGCGCGGTGATCAGCCACACACACTGCTCCCATCTTGGGCCTGCTGTGCTGGAGGTGAGGGCGTGGCCAGAGGAAGGAAAAAAGGATTCAGCACCTTGGTCAGCGCTGGTGACACTCAAGGTGGTGGGGTCCCCCTGGAAAGCACAGCCATAGCCCCATAACCCACCGCACCTCATCTATGACTTTGGCTCTCCATCCTGTATGAAACCCCCCAAAAGGCAAAGCTTCCCCCTCATCTTCTCCTTTTGGAACCATAAGGGCCCAGAATTCCAACTCAGGGCTGAGAAAGTCTGATCTAATTCATCCTGAAGACCCACATCCCTGACATCCCACATCGGTGTGGAAGCCGAGACAGGTTGTGAGCACAGACGGAGGTGCCGGATGCAGAGTGAGGCCCCATGCCCAGCAGAGGTGTCCGTGACCGCTGATGGGCTCGTGGCAGAGGCAGCGCTGCCCCGGATGGAAGACTGCCACCATCTCCGGCTCCCGTTGGCTGGGACCGAGGGCCGGTGGGAACGTGGAGTTGGATGTCCAGAGAAGTGTAACATTAGCCAGAAGGCCCAGGGTCCACCCCAGGACGTGGACCCAGCCCCGGCGATGAGGCCATTGACAGACAAGGGCCAGACACTGCCCCTTTCTGCCTCTTGCACGGTGCGTTGCATTCAGAAACCAACTGTGCTGCGCCTGGGATGGCAGACCCGCGGTGGAACCGGTCCCCATGAGAGAAAGGAAGCACCAGGTCTGGGTGGCGGAGCGCCCAGCCCTGGCAGGGAAGCGCCCGGCAGGAGCGGCCTCCTGCTCTCGGAGGCCCCGCCGGCCTCAGGCACGGGGCTGGGCCCCTGGCAGCCGCCTCCAGTGCTTGAACTTGGCCGATGTGTGAGCAGCTGACTGAGGAGAGGTAGATGTCCCCAAACCCAGCAGGACAGCAGCACCAAGAAGGAGAGACTTCAAGGAACCTGACGGCCACCTGGATCCGGGCAGCCAGCAGGGCGGCTCCCACACAGGAGGGAAGAGAAACCAGTCCCCCTCAGACTCTGCCCTGTGCCTGGGCAGTGCCATCATCTGACTGGAGAGAGAAGGAGAGGGGCGGGGGGAGATGGATGCATCTTTAGGTGTTTTAAGATGACCTCACAGAAGCGTCTGGTGCTAACAGTTGAACTATAATAGGACAATATTTGGGCAGAGCGCCCCTTCTACTTTCATTCCATGCCTTAGCCAGTTCCCCTTAAACAGAACCAGGGGGAGAGAGGGGGGCCAGAGCACTCTCAGAACCCCCAGGCATCCTAGCTTTGTCTGATCCGGTCCGCCCACTCAGGGCCCACAGCGTGGAGGGGGTCCCCCCAGGCAGAGAAGAGTCTGCAGGCAGCACGTGGAGCACAGGGAGAGGAGCCGCCGGCGGGCTCCCTGCACGTGGCAATTAATCAATCTGGGAAATTAGCTCCCACAAAAGGAAAGGAAGAACCCAGTCAGCGGCTCTGGATCAGCGCTCCGAGGGCGCCGAGCCGGAGGCGGGCTATGAATAGAGCAGCGGCGGCGAGGTGTGTGGCGCAGACGGCTCTGGAACGGAGGCCCCTGGGCCCCCAGGCTCCCGCCGGCCTGGGCTGGCCCAGAAGGGGCTGATGGGTGAGCACATGAGCTGGTGCAGCAGGCGGGCTCCTCGGCCCTGCTGCTAAGAAGCTTCCACTCCTGAGCCCAACAGTGGAAGGAAGATGCCAGCCCGGCCCTTTGCCTACCACCCTTTCTTCACCCAGGAACCAAGAGATTGAGGCTTGTGTTCCGTTCTGGGGTGACGCGTGGCTGCACCCCCCAGAGCAGGCAGCTGGAAATCAACGGCAAGCCCCATTTCTGCTCTGGACGGGAGAAGGTGGAGAGTCCAATGGTGGGTTTGGCTGAGAAGGCGTGACCCCCGTTTCAGGGAGGAAAATCCCTGAGACGGAGGTCAGGATGCCCACCCAGCTCTCTGCAGTCCCGCTCGCCGAGCTTCCTCCTCGATCACTGACCACGGAAAGGAACAGCACTTTGCTTCAATGTACATCTATATACACAGAGAGAAGCCCACACACTACAAACCTATGATTTGCACCTATGTCTATATATATATATGCAGCGCTTGGGAGGACTTAAAAAACCGAAGCAGAAGCCGAGAGCAGTACAAGCCATCGCTTTCCTCCTCACTCGCAAAGATCTTTGAAGAGGTGAGAAAAACCCACGGCGTGAAGAGGGGGTGGTGGGCAGACTCAGGCATCCCGCCCTGTCCCCGGTCCATGTCCTGATCTCCACGCACCACCGGAGGGTCTGCTAGGCCCCATGTCCTACAGACGAGGCCAGCGGGCCGGGTGCGGAGGAGACCTCGCTCTGCCCGGAGATGAAGGGGCAGAAGCAGAACAGAGGTGTGAGCAGCCCTCGGGAGTACCGGCCAGGACACTGGGGGCGGGGGGGGGGGGTGGGGGTCCGAGGCCCCGGCACCCAGCACGGCTCACCCCGCCCTGGCCCTCGGCCCGCCCTCTCACTCCGGGAGCACTTCAGAGTGGTGTCGTCACAGCAGGGTGGCATGGCCGGGGTCGTCATGGTCCACGCTGTTGAGGATGGCCGTCTGGTCTTCCGGAAGCTGGCGATGGCACAAGTCTGAGAGGCGGGCAAAGGGGTCCGGCCGGGAGTGTCTCTTCTTCTTCCGGAGGCAGACAGCTTCGTCGGGCCACAGGACCTGAGAGTTTGGAAGCTGCTGAGCCTGGGAGGCAGGACCGTCTAGGGAGGTGGGCCGGGCGCACAGAAAAGGCGGAAAGAAGAGAGAGTGGGTGAAAAGGAAGGCCGCGGCCCTCGCTCACACACCCCTCGCTCACCTGCCAGGACACATACTCCGGGCTTCAGTCTTAAACAAAGGGGTTGCTCAGTATACGGGGGACCAGGGCAGAGAGAGCAGAAAAACTACCTTCCTCGCTCCAGAGAGACTTGACTGGGAGGCTCATCCCACAGAAGCCACACCATGGCTGCTCCCCTCCGGCTCCCCAGAGCCAAAGAAGCAGGTGGATCTAGCCAATCCATAGTTCTATTCTATCTTTTATTTCATCCGGAATATACTTATACAACATATTTTATAGACTATTTCTCTTTTTTTTTCTTTTGATTAAAGAAATACTGCCCTGGCCAGGTGGCTCAGTTGATTGGAGCCTCATCCCAAACACCAAAAGGTTGCAGGTTCTGTCCCAGTCAGGGCAAAGTGCAGGGCTGGTCCTCTGCCTCTTTCTCTCTCTTTTCCTCTCTTTTTTCCTCCCTCTCCCCCACCCCCTCTCAAAATTATCCATTAAAAAAAACCCTATCCCTAGGTAGCGATTTTTCTAAAAGGAACATTCACATGTCTTTCTGATGCCACCTGAGTACCAGGCACCATTCTAGGTGCTGGGCTTTGGACTTAACACATTTGTTTTCATCTGCCCACCCCTGACCCCTTCCCTTCAAGCAACGGTGGGTTTTACAGGAGAGCTCAGGCGTGTGCATAGTCGGGCCTGGTCCTTCCAGGGCCATGCCTCTGCCTCTTGGCCCTGCTGGGGAGAGAGATCAAGCCCTTGTTTTCTGGAAGTTTACATTCTAATGCAGGAATAAGGAAGCCAGACAAACTGTAAGACTTAAAAACTACAGAAATAAAAGGTTCAGACACTGCTACCCAATAAAAGACAAACCAGGGTCACGAGAAGCAAATGACTGAGACATTGCTGCTCTGACAGAGAGACTGTCGTGAGCCTTGCAAAGACCCGGGGCAAAGTGTTCCCGATAGAGGGATGTCACATGGGAAAGCTCTGAGTTAGGAGCACACTGGACGTGTTCCAGAGACAGAGGAAGGCCTTGCAGCTCACGCCGAGTGAGCAGAGAAAGCAAGGCAGGAAGGACAGGCAGGGCATTCTAAGAAGTTCTTTTCTTTGATATATTGTTGTTAATTTCAGAGAGGAAGGGAGAGGGAGAGAGAGATGGAAACATCAATGATGAGAGAGAATCATGGATTGGCTGCCTCCTGCATGCCCCCCCACTAGAGATCAAGCCCACAACCCGGGCATATGCCCTTGACCAGAATCAAACCCGGGACCCTTCAGTCGCAGGCTGATGCTCTATCCACTGAGCCAAACCAGCTAGGGCAAGAAGTTCTAAATCTGTCCTGGTTTCAGTGGGAAGCTTCTGGAAGGTTTGAATCAGAAGTATGCACACGTGTGTGTGTGTGTGTGTGTGTGTGTGTGTGTGTGTATGCACATGCCCAGGACTAAAGGAGAATATGTGGTTACATTTTGTAAAGGTCACTTTGGTGACTGTATGTACAATAGACTAGAAAAGGAGCCGGGATGGAGGCAGGAGGACCGTGAGGAAGCGCTTGCCATAGTTAACGTGAGGGAGGAGTGTGTGTCGGGATGTAGTTTTAGAAGCTGAGACAGGAAATAAGTGGGGTCAGATTCAGGATACGTTCTAAATGCTGAGCCAACAGACCTTCCTGATGGATTGGATGTAAGGTGTAAGAGCAAGAGAAGAATCGTGGTCGAGGGCTCTGAGTGACTGGGTTGGTAGCAGTGCTATTTATGAAACTGGGGAGGAACTGAGAAAGATTTGAAGAGGATAATCAATAACTCTATTCTGGGCATTATAAAGGCTTATAAGCTATCCAAATGCAGCTTCAGCAGGCAAGTAGAAATATGAGACGAGCTCATGGAATAGGCCTGGGTTAAAAACATCTTTGAGAGTTTTTAATATATAAAAACAGGACCATTATAAGAGAACGTGGACATCTGAAATGGCTTTTTTATTTAAAATTAAAATGTATATATATATATATATATATATATATATATATATATATATATACACACACACACACACACACACACACACACACATATGATAGATACATACATACTAGGTGTACCGGTTAATAATGCAGATTTCTTTTCAATAGATGAAGTTACACATATGTTGATATATATGCGATTTGATATGTATGCTATTTTGTTGTATTGGCAGCAAGCTTCAAAACTTCATATGTCAAATTTGCTGAAGGTGTTAACATTATAGATATTTTTATGCTTAAAAATGTTGAATTTCGTGCCAAAAAAAGAGCATTTGTGGGAAGTTTTAATTCATTACTTTATTTTGAAGAAAAGTGCTGCTGGAAGCATTCATATACTTCGGGAAGCTTATGGTGAACATGCTCCATCTCAAGACACTTGTGAATGCTGGTTTAAACACTTCAAAACTAATGATTTCGATGTGAAAGACAAAGAACGTGCAGGTCAACCAAAAAAGTTTGAAGGCCAACAATTACAAGCATTATTGGATGAAGATGTGTGTCAAACTTAAAAACAGCTTGCAGAAAGATTAAATGTTGCTGAGCAAGAAATTTTCGATCATTTACAAGCAATGGAACAGATTTTAAAGGAAGGAAAATGGGTGCCACATCAACTGAGCGAAAGACCAATGGAAAACTGAAAAATCATCAATAAGATGTTGCTTCAACAGCACAAAAGAAAGTCTTTATTGCATCGAGTTGTGACTGGCAATGAAAAGTGGAGTTATTTTGAGAATCCTAAACACACAAAATCATGGGTTGCTCCAGGTCAACCATCAACATCAATAGCAAGGCCAAATCACGTCAGAAAGAAGACAAAGTTCTATGTTTGGTGGGATCAAGAAGGTGTGGCGTAGTATGAACTTCTAAAACCAGGTGAAATGGTTAATACTGATCACTACCGACAATAAATAATCAATTTGAACCATGCTTTGATCATAAAACGACCAGAATGGACCAGAAGACACGGTAAAGTAATTTTGCTTAATGATAACGCACCATCACACACTTCAAAACCAGTTAAAGGCACGTTATAAGATCTTGCCTGGGTAGTATTAACCCACCTGCTGTATTCACCAGACCTTGCTTCTTCAGATAACCACTTGTTCCGATCGATGGCACACGCACTTTCTAAGCAGCATTTTAAAACATACAAGTGGAAAATTCGGTCTCTGAATAGTCTGCCTCAATACAAGAAAGTTCTATTGGGATGGTATCCACAAGTTACCCGAAAGATGGGGGAAATGTGTAGCTAGCGATGGACATTACTTTGAATAAAGCACTTTTGATATTCCTCTTGAAATTATTGTGTTTTCTTTGGATTACAAAATCCGCATTATTAACCGGTTAAAATGTTTTTTTAAATATATTTTTGTTGATTTCCATTATTAACTGGTTAATAGTTAATCCATATTATTAACCAGTTGATAATTAATTATGCATTATTAACCTGTTAATATGAATTTTGTAATCAAAGAAAACATGATAATTTCAAGACAAACATCAAAAGTGCTTTATTCAAAATAATGTCCATTGCTAGCTACACATTTCCCCCATCTTTCGGGTAACTTGTGGATATCTTCCCAATAGAACTTTTCTTGTTTAGAGGCAGACCATTCAGAGACCGAATTTTCCACTTCTTCATACATTTTGAAGTGCTGCTCAGAAAGTGTGTGTGCCATCGATCGAAACAAGTGGTCATCTGAAGGAGCAATACAACAAAATAGCATACATATCAAAGTGCATATATATCAAATGTGTAACTCCATCTACTGAAAAAATCCACATTATTAACTGGTACACCAGATAGATGATAGATAGATAGATAGATAGATAGATAGATAATAGATAGAGGTCTTAGGCTGAAATGAGCTTATAGAAATTGAAAATTCAGCTTTGGGGTCCAATTTCCCACCGAAACTCCAAAAACATCATTTTCTTCTTTTTCTACCTCAGTCTTCCCTCCTATAAACTAAAAGAACAAAAGCACCACCCAAAGGTTAAGTGAGAAATAAGTGCTCCCATTCCCCCCACAATCCAAGGGGCCTCTGGATAACACTTCCCTATAACCCAGTCTCTAAAGAAAGTTCCTCTACAGCAGCCAATCCAGGTTTATAAGAACCTGTTCAGCAGTTTCCTCTGACATCCTGTCACATCCCTAAAGCCGCTGATACAAAGAGAGTATGGGGGAGTATTAAGGAATTCTCTACGTCTGAAAAGGGCTGACCTGGTTTTACACTCTGAGCAGCCACCTATTACCGCTGGAAAAAACATCAGACATACTAGTAATTCACGAGAGGTGTCCTTTTACAAAGTGAGATTTCCCTCTTGTTGAAAAAAAATATATATGGCCAAAAACAGAAGCTAGGTCCAAGCCACAATGTCCCCCAACCACGGAATTGGGATCCTGTAATTCCCACATCCAACTTGAAGGCCCTAAACGTTAGAGAGAAATATCGATGAATAGCTGAGCGTTGCAGAAAGGATAAAACTAGGATACCAGTTAGGTTGTTTAAAATTAGACTAAAACAATACACTCTCTTTCCTAACGGAGTAGCAGAAGGGCTCTTGAAAACCCAACACCACGGAGAGAAATGGTTCCCGGGCGGGAGGACACGGAACCGGAAGGACAACCGGAGGTTTTAACCTCCTCTTTCTTACTCTTACATGAAAATCATATTGTGCGTTCGCTGAAAATTCGTGTTCAAGAGAAACAGGGAGTGAGATAAGGGATGGATTCAAGCCTAAAGAAAACCCCAGGTTGGGGGTCCCAAGCAAACAACCGCATAATAGTGGCGGGAAAGAGAGGAGCGAGGCGCTGCCCGCCATTTACCGGATCGTTTCTTTGACTTCGAGGAGCCCTTGGATGACTTTTTGGGCTTCTTTATCCGTTGGTACTTCAGAGCCTCCAGCCTCTCAGGTGCGGCGGTGGCGTTCCCGGGTGCAGGCGGATGTGTCCTGCAGAGGGACAATCAGAGGGTGCGGGTCAGCCCCCGCACAGGGAGCGTTGGGGGCGGGGCTGGAAGGAAGCCCGAGAGCTGGCCCGTAGGACACGGTGCGGTTCCGTGGAGTCCCAGACCCAGGAGGGCTCCCAGCCCTGGCTGTGTGTGGCTCCTGGGAGGGAGAAGGGCCAGTGGGAGCTGCAGTCTCGGGGGGGCCCACCTCGGGTGGACGGACCTGCAGAGAAATCAGAAGGCCTAGGAAAGGGAGAGAGACTTTAGCAGGAAGCCTTGAATCACACAGAATTCAAGCCGGAGGAGTGAGGTCGGAGAAGGAAGCCGCTTCGGCGTCTGAAGTTCTGAGAAGTCATCACAGTCGAGACCTTTAAGGGAAAAGGGAAAGTGCAGATTATAGCGGGATGTGGGCACCCAACCCACATCCACTGTCCCCCTCCAGAGAAGAGGCGGCCAGCGCCCAATGAGAAACCAGCCTCCAGGCTCCTGCTCTTCATTCACGAGACTCTGGGAGAACCTCGAAGCTAACAGCACCGCCTCCGATACCTCCCGGACCCTCCGCAGGCTGGGCTCAGACTCCTTCCGTCATGCAAGAGAAGAAACGAAAGGGAGAAGTGGATTTCGATGGTGAGAATGTCCAAATCCGGCAGCCTCGCAAAGCCCTTAACGACTGCAGCAAGAATCCCATGAGTCTCTCTATTTTAAGATGCAAGGGAGAAGCGGAGGTTGTTGGGTGAGGAGACCACGCATCGTGGCCTCTCTCCCAGCCAGACCAGCGGACAGTGCCACGTGCCTGGCAGACCAAACGCATGATTAGAACGAAGTTAATGGGATTTAAGTGAAGCCGTGCAGCCCAGGTGACAGAGGGGACCAAAGAGAGCAGGGAGGACGACTGTCTGTGACTATCTGTGAGAGAATGAGCCGTAAAAGAAGAAAATCTAGAAGATGCGTTATCAATGGTGTTTCTTCACAACGTAGGGGCCTGAGGAACAAAGGTCACTCTTCCCCCCCACCCCCCCCCCCCAGTGCCGGCATCCATACTCGGTCCCAGGGTCACGGGGAACTGCACTCTTGCCTCAGCCCTCTCAGCTCCCCCTTCCAGCTCCGACACAACTGGTCTGCGGTGAATCTTGACGAGGAGGAGCAGAACAGATGCCCTGTGACGGGGAAAGACGTCCCCAGTTGTGAGTAAGCAGTTGGAGGCGTTTTTAAAACATGAGAAGGAGCGGGAAGATGGCAGCTGCATGGTCCCCACGTGGGGTCGTCTTTGTGGGAAGGTGGGAGAAGAAACTTACAGACGAATGTGGACACGCCTCTGGCCTCTGGGGTTTCCTGCAAGAATTGGCAGTGAAGCAACCTTCATCTTCGTTGATGGATGGCATCGCTCCATCACCCTTCAGTAAATAAGGGATCGGGAAGCGCCTCCCAAGTTCAGGTCAGAGGCCACCTTTTGATCTTCCACGGACCCCCCCTGACAGCACGGAGCTAAGAAGCCCTGCCCTCCATGCGCACAAAGGCACTCGGTCCAAGGTCCAACTCACCATGAGCAGACAGGCCTCCCCCCCCCCCAACACCCAACCTGCCAATCCCCCATTCCTTCCTCCTTCACCAGCCCCGCACTCTACCACAGAGATCCTCACGGCAACAGCTGGAAGGGAAGGGGGAGGCGGGCACAGGGTAGAGATGGCTCCAGCAGGTGGGGCATGACGCTCCAGTGCTGGTGGGGTGCCCTCACCCCCTTCTCAGCCTTGACTAAGGTTTCTGCGTGCTGCTGAAGGGAAGCTCACAGGTCTACACCTGCTGTTCGGTCTGTCTGTCTCCAGGGCCCAGCCAGCCTCCGGAGAGGGACCACAGACAGTGAGCGATGCATGGTCTGAGTAGCAAGCGGGCTCAGGAAGCAGTGCTTAAGAACATCCCCCATCAGAGCTCAAGAGACTCTTACAAGTTCTAGGGATTCTGTAAGCCAAGTGACACCTCCAGGGATGTTTTCATTATTACAATCCACAAATTGTCAGTATTCCTGTTTTTTAGTCACGTAGCATCTATTTACCGCTTACCAGGCCAGGCACTGACCTACGTTCTCTTCAACAATGTTCTTTCATCCTTACAACAACCCTCAGGGGTAAACACTATACAGTGAGCCCATTTTTCAGATGGAGAAACTGAGGAGTGAAGCCAGGTAGCTTGTCCAATTTCCCCAGTGACTACGGGAGAGAGCCAAGATTCTCAGCCCCAGGCGACTCTATTTTTCCAAATTCTTCCTAATAAAGCGGGTAGAGAAGTCACGGCAGAGAAAAGTCCTGCTTCCATGTGGCAGAAGGAACCCGCTGAGGTCCTCACTGACAGTCTCAGCAGTGGGGGCAGAGCGGGGCTGAGACACACTTGGGGTGGGGCAACGCTGGCTGCTCCAGGTAAAAACTCCCCAACAGTCATGATCCGCTGAGGAGGATAAGCTCATTTTCTCTTGGGGAAACAGCCAAGCTCGGGCCCTGCCAGGACACACGCCGGTCACCCGTTCCCACTTTGGACTCAGTCCTCAAGTGCAGGACCATGACAAGAGACTCTCCAGAGGCAGAAAAAAAACCCACAAGCAAGTGTCCAGCAGGACAGGAAGGAGGGAGGAGGGGGAAATGGGTCTTTCTTTTTAGCGAATTACACAGAAAAGATATGTGACACGTGCTCCAGCCAGCTTCGTCCACCACCTGCCACGCCCTTTGGAATCAAATCGCCTCCCTTTTCTAGGAGGGTGACCATGTCCCCATCAAGGTCAAGCTCACCTGGGGTACTTCCAAGGTATTGAGGCCCAGGGTGATGGTGTCATATAAAGATGGCAAGTGCACCTGAGGTTGGCTTGCAGGTTCCCTATCAGGACAGAATCCAGCCCTGGGCTCTCCAGGAAGCTGAGCTCCCAGTCCCGTTCCTGACCAGTCCCCTCCGCTCCAGCATTCAGGAATCGGCAAGCTCTGGGTGCTCGGTCTCCCAAGGAGTCGGAGCGGTACTGAATGGTGAAGGCTTAAGGATTCTCCTGACCTATCTTATCGTCTCTCCCAGACACTGCCAGTAGCATTTTTCTGTAGGTCAGAACCAGCAAAATGCCTAGAACTGACTTGAACACACACTCTCTCTCTCTTTCTCTTTCTTCATAAAATCCATACAAAATCCAAGTCATGACCATTTAGCTAAGCTTCCCTTAGCTGCTTAGCTCTATGCTGACCCAGAGGAGTGGAGAAAAAGACCTCCTGGTTCAAATGTAGGCAAACCACAGGACAGGAAAGTCAAAATCCAAATCCATTAAGGGTATGTCCTGCCCTTAATGCTCAAAGAGCGGGCCATGAGGACACAATTCTCAGAGCCACCTCCCGTCACCAGGCAGACACACGATTTGAAGATCTCTTGCCTCCTCTACCTAACTGCCCAAGAGCGGGCCCAGCGTGGCTGGTTAGGCCCTGCGGTTGGCAGGCTGAGGGAATCCTCACACAGTCACGGTGTAGCCAAGGAAAAGTGCTGGTACAGAGCAGAGAGCCAGACGCCTGGCTGGCAGCCGCTCCGCTCTGCCCACAGATGGTCCATTTCTAGAGGGATCAGGGCACCAGCCAAGTGCTTGGCCTCACAAGTCAGAAGCTTGTTCCAAATGGGAACGCCTTCCCAGGGCTCCCCTAGTAAAAGGGGACCCCTCCAAGCTCCCAGGCCCACCTGCATGGGCAATGGAGGCCAAAGTCAGTATGAAAAGGGAAGGGGATCAGGGGGAGCTATGAGGTTAGGGGTGCAACGACTGGTCCCAGAGAAAAACCCCTCAGCCTCCCAGCCATTCACAGATACCCCGTGTTGAGAGGAAGGTGGGAAGAGGAGGAAAGAGGTGGAGGGAGAGAGGGGAAGAGGAGGAATGGGGGTGGAGGGGAGACACCTGCAGGTGTGGGGAGAAGGAACAGGGAAGCGACTGGAGGAAACAGAGCTAGAACAGACGTAGACAAGACGTGTCACATCTCCAAGCAAGACCGAGTGGAGACACATGCAAAGGCCAGCGTGAGGACAGCATCTGACGAGGAGCCTGCGCCTCCCAATGGCCCGCAGCGACCGCACCCGGGAAGCCCGCAGCAAGCAGGAGGTGTGGCGGCTCCCGCAGCCCAGCACCCGCAGCCCAGCGCCGGCAAGGTCTACTCCGAGGCTATGGGAGGTCTGACTCCCCTAGGCGGGGTGCTGGCCAGACCCCAGGAACAATGCTCTCTCGTGTGGCCCCTGGCTGCTGGCTTTGCCATGGCAGAGAGTAGGGTAGCTCTGCTTTCTCAGATCTGACACGGTGGGAACAACGGGGGCAGAGGGCCCAACAGCTGGGGGAGGGGAGGGGCAGGAGCAATGAGAATGGGGTCCAGCACTTTCCAGGAGTGGGGTGAGAGCTGGTTCTGGAGCTGTGACCTCTTGGGGGATGACAGCAGGGCCATCACTAGGTGGCAGGGAGGGAGGGCTGGAGATGGAGGACAGCCCAGTCTGCCACTCTGGAGCGTGCACCCTCAGGCCACGGAAGCCCTAGCTCACGAAGACCTCTGACCCTGCACGTCCTCCCAATGCGCACGGCCCAAGTGGGGCCCCAGCCGGCTGCATGCCACACGCCGTCCCAGAGCCTCCGGGCTGCTGGCCCTTTTCTAGCAGCCGGGGCGCCAGAGGGGCCTTCACACCCCGAGAGCAAGCCTCGCGTAACCCTGACAGCCTTTTTAAGAGACTTGATACCCTCTGCGTGCCCCAGTGCCTAAGGCCCCCTCCCGGAAGGAGCCATCCCAATGGACAGCAAGGAGGAGTGCAGGCCTCCGTCCCCGGGTGAGTCTGTGTCTCCTGCCACCTCAACCCCCGGCCTGGGAAACCTCTTCTGAGCTCCTCGGACTCCCTGCAGCTGCGACTCAAGGTCAGGAGTGGTTGCCACGGAGCCCTTGAGAGCCGTATGACACTAGGGGCAAGATCAGCCTTGCAACAGCCAAGGGCAGGCAGCAGAATGCAAGGAGCATGGACGTGGGGGTGTTTCCCGGCCCTGCCCTCAGAGGACCATGGTGGCCTGGTCCTAAGAAGGACCTCGTCTGTGGCCGAGGGAAGGAGCTGGGCCGCCCCAATCCTGTGCTCTCTGAGGGGACCAACTATTCGTAAGTCCCCAGGAAGACAGCGAGGGGCCAGCCACCCCAGGGAAGGTCTAAGTTTGGGGGTCCCGGGAGAAGAGGTGGTCTACCTGAGGCTGCTGGGAAAACAGGGCAGAGAGAGGGTGGGTGTTCTGGTACCAGTGTGGCCCCGGACTGATGGTCAAGCAGGTCTTTGCACTGTGGGCCCCTCAGGTGCATGCAGGGCCCCGAAGGGCCTCTGGGCAGCTCTGGGTGTGTGGGCAGCAGAATGGCAAGGTGTCTGAGTGAGGAAACTGCAGGGCGGCTATGGGAGAGAGCTTGGCATATGGGGCGGGCGGGGCGAGAAGCTGCAGCGAGGCAGTGCCCGAGCGTGGCCTTGGGGGGCTGTTGGAGCAGCGTGATGGGGGAACCCAGAAGCCGTGGGATTCGGGGAGCAGAGGCTGCTGCCCCCACTGAGGGGGGTGAAGGGACATGGTCTGGATTCCCCTGTAGAGGAAGCGATGGCCCTGCCGAAGCCCCGTCCGCCTGTCCGCCCCCCCGCCCCCCGGCCGCGGAGCACCCTTACCTATTGAGCTGAGGAGAGGCTTGTCTCGACAACACTGCCCAGATAGCTGAGATCAATCAGAAACAAAGCAGTTATCAACACGGGCCGTGGGGAACCACCCACGCACACCCAGAGGGGAGGAGGGGGAGCACGGGGACCAGAGAACCGACAAGGAGGCCAGAGAATGGGGTGAGGGCAGGAGAGGAGAGAGACAGAGAGCTAGACCAACGATGGGACAGAGCAGATGAGCGCGCTGCAAAGCGGACGACAGGGCTGCGTCCACAGCATCTCCGCAGACACCACAGGCACCACACAACCACGCGCCCCGCCTGGCCTGGCGCCGGCTGGAGCTCTCCTCCACTCCCAGGAGCAGGTGGGGTGGGAGGGGAGGCTTGCACTTCCAGGTACCAGACAGGGTGGGGGTGAGTGGGGCAAGGGAAGGGCTCTGGGCTCCTCCTCAACCGCCACCCATCCTGCCTACCACCAGGCCAGCTCCTCTGGAGCTGGGCGCCCCGCACAGGCAGCCACACCAAGAGAGACCAAAGGACGGAACTAGAAAGAAAGAGGGAGGGAGGGGGCGGGGGGGGAGAGGAAGGAGGGGTAGGGGGGCTGGGGATACTAGCAAGACATTGCAGGCTCTTCTGAGTAAGTTGGGGCAACCCAGAGAAGATGGAGAAGGAAGAAAGACAGACAGAAAGACAGACTTGAGGAGGAAGCACAAAGAGGAGGAAGAGGAGGAGGAGGAGGAAGAGGAGGAGGAGGAGAAAGACAGAGAAAGGCACAGACAGGCGTCCAGGCTGATTGGTACCTGGAACACCAGCTGTTTAGAGTGTGCTCTTTCAGGCAGGCTGATCGCAGGAGCTTGTCTGTCTGTCTGTCTGTCTGCAGCTTCCTGCGAGGCACACAGGTTGGGATGGGGTGTGTGGTTCTGGGCACCTGATTCACAGCCTGAGATCTGGCCCCCAGCCTCCAGGATATGCCCCCCACCCTCCGGAAGAGGCTGTGGGAGGGGCCCAGAGCTCCCCAGGCCACTAAGGGCAGGGTTTGGAGAGGGGCGCCCCTGGCCTGGGGGTCCAGGGAGGCCAGGCTTCAGGATCCTGCCAAGCAAGGAAGAGGGGCTGGGAAGCAAAGGAGCCTGGATGTGAGGTCTCTGGGCAAACCGTGGCAGCACCCCCAAAGCCAGGATCCCAGGGACCTGGTGAGCTCTTCACTCCACCAGGAACCGGGGTGACGGCTCCCTGGGGCATGCCACGCCCCTCCCCTGGGCCATGTGTGCCCACTCCTGAGAGCCCTGGGCTGGTGGAGAAGATCCCTCCTGCTCCTGGCAGGGTACCTGGGCAGCTAAGCCCCATCCCACCACAACTGGCCACACCCTGCTGATGCCAAGACCAGAACCCTCCCCCCACCCCCCACAGGAATGCTGCAGCGATTCCAGACAAGCCCTGTCATTCTGGTTGATGGACGGTGGAGGGTGGGGTGAGGGCGGGGGGGTGGGAGAATGACCAGGTGAAGGTGGGTGGGAGAAACCAGCTCACACTCACCCTGAAGTAGGTAACTGTGGTGGGGGGGGCTCTGGTCTGAGCAGCTCCTCCCCCATCCTTCGGGGGGAAGGCGTCTGTCCAAACACATCCAAGTTGTCCGCAGGCCCCGCGGGGCCCATAGGAGGGGAGGGGTAGCCCGTGGCCAGAGTGGTGAAGCCCACGGCAGGCCGGTAGCTGGGGCTCCCGCTGCGGCTGCTCTGGGACAGGGAGCCCGTGGACGGCGTGGACTTGCATGAGAAACTGACGGCGGCCGGCGGCTGGAGGGTGATCTCAGACATCTCGGCCTGCTGCAGGAGGCCGGGGCGAGGCCGGGCCCGGGCGGCCAGCTCCGGGGAGCCGGTGCGAGAGCTGAGAGGGCTTTGGGTCAGAGGCGAGAGCCGAGAGGGCTGTAGCACCACTTGATGTAAACTGGGCTCGGCGCGCCTGGCCTGCCGGGGGCTGGGCTGGGGCCGGGGCTGCGGCTGGTACCACCGGGTGTCCAGGCCGAATGTGCTGGGGCCACTGTGTCCCCCCGGCTCGGCGGGCTCGGGGTAAGGCAGCACAGGGATGCCCATACCTTGGCTGGTATGTCTTAGCTGCCCTTGGCTCACCAGCGGCTGCGCGGGTCTGTCCTGCCACTTGGCGGCGGGGGGCACTGGTGCGGGGACTCTGCCCGGCGACTTGCCTGCCCAACCCTTCGGCGCCTCCAGAGACAGGATGCCCGGGTAGGCTGAGGGCACCTGGAGGGAGGAGGGGGGCAGTCCTCGGGGGAGGCAGGCCTTGGGCTGCAGACTCTCGGCCACATCACAGGGGTGCAGCTGGTGGGGGAACATCATGGCTGGGGTTTCCAGGCCCCCAAAGGGGAACTCCGGCCGGCCCCAGGGCTCCGGGGAGCGCCCGCCAGTGGGGGTCTGAGTCAAGGGCAGCGTGCTGTTGGACGCGTTCTCTCCGTTCTCCTCGGGGATGGTGGGGTGGCCGAAGGGCCCCTCCGAGTGCAAGGGCGGGGAGGACATGACCGAGCTCAGGGGGCTGCCCACTTCCGGCATGTAGAACGGTGGCGGCTCCACCTCCCCGGGGCTGCTGCTGCTCAGGTACCCATAGTACTGGCCGTGGTGGAAGGGCCGGGGGGCGGGCGGCCGGGCCTGGCCTGTGGCCTGGAGCCGCCCCTCCAGGCCGCCGGGGCCCTCCAGCCCACGGGGCTGGAACCGGGGGCTGTATGCTGGTGGAGGCAGGTAAGACTCCTGGCTGGACGACAGAGGGGTCAGCTGGGACTTCAGGGCAGCCACCGAGGTGGGCACCAGGGGGTCCTCATTCTCCTCGTCAGACTGCCGGAACTCGGGGTACATGTCCGTCTCCTCCGCAAAGGGAAAGCCCTCGATGCGCCTGCCCTTCACGGTGGGCTCCACCTCGGAGGGCCCCATCACAAAGCGGCCGTCAGGGCCTCTGCTGATGAGCTCGATGGGCGTCGTGGCCTCGGCCTCGGCCTCCGCCTTGGCCACGCTGTACTTCTTGCTGCTGATGGCCCTCTTGGTCTTCTTGTACAAGGAGAGCTCCTTCTCCCGGCTGGGGCTCAGCATCCTCTTGGCTGCGGGCTGGCCCTGGTCGTCGGAGGACTCGGAGGGGGGCCGGAGCGTCCGGATGCTCTCTGGGCTCACCTTGCCCGAGGACAGGCTGTGGGGACAGGCCGAGAGCAGGAGGGTGAGGCAGGGGACACATGGGCCATTACTCCTTGGTGTGCTCTTAGCTACCACCAACCACAATGGCCTGGGAAGACAGGACTAGGGAACAAGACCGCAGGTGACTGCATAGTTTGGCATGAACCTCTTGGGCCAACTTTCTCAATTTGTCTAGGTGTGCTTTCTGAGTGAGTACCCGCATTCCTACTTCTACTCCGCTCTGCCCCACGGTTTGCTGTGCTCTGTCCAGTCCCACCTGCAACTTCACTCCAGGTTGCTCGCAGAAAGCAAGCTCATTATAATATTACAACGTAAACATACTCAGAAGGCAAATCTGTTAGGATGACCAAAAAAATAAAAAATAAGCCGAAACCGGTTTGGCTCAGCAGTAGAGCGTCGGTCTGCGGACTGAAAGGTCCCAGGTTCGATTCCGGTCAAGGGCATGTACGTTGGTTGCGGGCACGTCCCTAGCAGGGGGTGTGCAAGAGGCAGCTGGTCAATGTTTCTCTCCCATCGACATTTCTAGCTCTCTATCTCTCTCCTTTCCTCTCTGTAAAAAATCAATAAAATATATTAAAAAATAAATAAATAAATTAATTAATTAATTAAAAAATAAATAACAGAACTACACTCTGAAGTCAAAAAGAAATGGGTTCTGGGCTCCTTCTGCAGGGGAACAGCGAGATCAACCAGCAGTAACCAGCGGAGAAGAGCCGCAATGGGCTGAGCGAGGAGGACTGCCCAGTGTCACACCCTGACCGTCCACCCGCACCCCACAAGCAGCGTGTCCCCCGGGGCCGGGCCGGGGCACTTACGGGGACTCCAGGCTCTTCCTGCAGTGAGTGATGGAGAGCGGAGGGTCTGGAAGGAGAGAGGGGGAGACCTGCTGAGGCCGAGACACCAAAACACACGCCAGCGCCGACAGGGCCCAGAGCTGAGCCATGAGGGAGCCTGTCCCCACCCCAGGCGCTTGCCTCCTCCAGCCTCTCTCACGGTCCCCATGTCCTTTCTCCTTTGTTCAAATCAAGTCCCTCTGGCAACTCTACCCTCTTCTCAAAGGGCCCCACACTACACACAGGCCGTCTCTCCTAAAAGGGAGCCTCTGAACCCGGGCCAGGTAGAGCAGGGGGTGGGAACCACACCCACCTTTTTTGCGCTTGAGCTTACGCTTGCGCTGCTTGTTGACAAAGCAGGCGGCCAGGGTGCTGAAGAGGATGGCGGCCGCCAGGAAGCAGATGGTGGCTACGATGCCAGCCAGCACGGGCCGCGCCAGGCCGTCATCTGTCAGGTCCGGCTGAGGGAAGATGTCTGTGGGGAGGGGCATGGAGTCCTGGGAGGCATCCCCTTCCAGAGGCCCTGCCCACTATGACACCCAACCACCTACGTGATGGGCCTTACACACAACCTAAGGCTCAGACTCAGGCTCCAGCCACAAGGAGGGTTGCATGGATTACAGCCAGGGGGCCACCACATAGCTAGTAAAGAGGAAAGAGCATCAATACCTTACCCTGTGGGGGTGATAATACTGATCTAGTGCTTAAGCCCAGCCAGTGTGGCTCAGTGGTTGAGTATCAACCTATGAACCAGGAGATCATGGTTCAATTCCTGGTCAAGGCACATGCCCAGGTTGTGGGCTCGATCCCCAGTGTGGGAGGCAGCCAATCAATGATTCTCTCTCATCATTGATGTTTCTATCTCTATCTCTCTCCCTTCCTCTTTAAAATCAATAAAATATATTTTAAATATACTTATGTATATATATGTACACACACACACACACACACACACACAAGATTATATTTTCTTAAATAAAATAAATAAAATTTTTAAAAGCCCACGGAGCACAGAAGTCACAAGTCACCTCCACTCCACCCGATGCTCTCATGCCACATCTGTCCTCCCCTGCCGCCCCCCCCCCCGCAACTTGGCCAAGCTCCTTGCTAACTGGCCCCCCCAGGGAGCAGTGCCCATGGAAATGGTGCCCTTGCTTTCTCACTAAACAAGCGCCTCCTCCCGCTGCCCCAGAGCTGGTCCTGAGTCTAGGGAACCAAGGAGCCGCTCCACAGGGAGACAGAGAGGACCTGTGGGTTTCAGACACTATGGCTGGAGAACGATGTGTAGACATGAGACCAGAGGCACACACACACAAAAAAAAAAGTGAAATTGAGAAAATGCCAGAAGGGGGCTTTCTTGAGCCTGAAAAACATCTAGGCAGAGGAAGAAGTGAAGGGCAACACCACCCAACAGCAGTTTTCCAAATAAAAGCACCATCATTATACAGCAGTCTTACAGCATGCGCTCAGTGGATGCTTGGCGACCTGTGGTCCCTGCTCTGGTCCCACCCATTACAGAGGGTCACATGGGAGGAAATGGAGTTGACAGAAAAATAACTCTGCCCCAGCCAGTTTGGCTCAGTGGATAGAGCGTCGGCCTACAAACTGAACGACCCCAGAATCAATTCCTGGTCAGGGCGAATGCCCGGGTTGCAGACTCCATCCCCAGTAGGGGCGTGCAGGAGGCAGCCAATCAATGGTTCTCTCTCAACATTGATGTTTTTCCTCTCTCCTCTCTTCCTCTCCCCTCCTCTCTGAAATAAAAATATATTTTTAAAAAGAAAGAAAAAGAACTTAATCCACTTCTTTCTGACAACAGTATGAGAAGATTTGCTAACTTCCTCTCTGCAGCTTCCTTACAGACACTGTGACCAGCACAGCTCAAGATGGAGAAATCCCACCCATGGAAGCAGGAGCATGGACCTGACTCCCCGTGGCTCTGTGCTGTGTCCCCGAAGCTGTAAAAGAACCCCCACCCCCAAGTACCTGTGCTGGAGACGCCGGCGATGTTGCTGGGCTCGCTGACCAGGTCCTGCATGACGGCCAAAACCCGGAACTCATACCAGGTATCCTACAGCCGAAGGGACAATACCCATCAGCCAGGGACCTGAGCGGCCACTGGCCTGCCACTGACCCGCCACCGACCACACACCATTGACCCTGCCAGGACATGTCGTGGAACACGGCACCCAAAACAGTGGTCCTGAAATGTGTAACAACCAGCTCTCAAGTGAAAAAAAAAAAAAAAAAAAAAAAAGAAGTTCTAATTTGTAGTCTTTGCCAATTGCTGTGGTGTAAATACTCTGACCACGGCTGATGTGAAGTGAGGTCACAGAGAGGAAAGGTGGGAAGGGAAACACTCGGGATCTCAGGAGACATGAGCCAATTCCAGCCCTGGGTGTTCAGGGAAGGGAGAAAGAAGGTAGGCAAGACAGTCTATTCCTAAAGGAGATCGGCTGCAAAAGGATAATGTATGCCCCAGGCTCTAAACTGGTAAAGGGTAAAGCTAAAAACTGTCCTGGGAAATCCTGTCCATCGTAGTTAGGCTTCCAGCAAGGAGCTAAGGTCTGGTGATAGAAAAATAACTCTGCCCCAGCCAGTCTGGCTCAGTGGATAGAGCATTGGCCTGCAGACTGAAGAGTCCAGGTTCAATTCCCTGTCAGGGCGCATGCCCGGGTTGCAGACTCAATCCCCAGTAGGGGGTGTACAGGAGGCAGCCCTTGCTTGTGTGTCTGCACTTGGAGAAACCCCTCAGTGATACAACCCCCACTGCCCCTGGGAGAGCTGGTCCTGAGTCTGGGGAACCTCAGTCACCATGGGCAGCTCTGGGCGAGAGCATGAACAGGGTGTGTGGTCCGTCAGTCCATGACCAGACTTCACAGATTTGCGTCGGGTCAGTCAAAGCTTCCAGTGACTCCGGGAGTTCTGTCACTTCCGGGATTTGGGAAGCAGCAGCAGGGGAAGCCCAGTGCTCACCTGGGACAGATCCTTGGCAAAGAAGTCTCCATCGGTGCCTGGGATGGCATCGTCTAGCATCTCCCAGCGCTCTCCGACACGGAACTCCATGACGTAGCGGTCGATGGGGAAGCTGTGGTTGGCAGGTGGCAGCCAGGACAGCAGCACGCCCTGCTGGGTCCGATTGGCTGTGAGGCACCGTGGTGGGGTAACCAGCACCAGGGGTTCTGGGGTTGTGATGGGGAATGCTGCAGCGGGAGAGAAGGGAGACAGTGCTGAGGTCGCCATGGCCTCGCCATCCACGCGATCTCTGGCTCAGCATGTGGCCCTGGGGCACCATGGCCCCGAGGCAGCATGGCTGTGGGCCAGCGCCTGGACTCCTGTGTCTAGAGCACTTCCAACATCTAGGAGGAGCCCAGTTCCACAGTAGAAACAAAATGGGCCCGGCAGGTGTGGCTCTCTCAGCGTGGCTCAGTGGATTGAGCATCGTCCCATGAACCAAGAGGTCAATGGTTCAATTCCCAGTCAGGGCACATGCCCGGTTATGGGCTCGATCCTCAGTAAGGGGTGTATAGGAGGCAGCTGATACATATTTCTCTCTCTCTCTCATTGATGTTTCTTTTCTTTTTTTTTTCTTTTTTTTAATTCTCATCCGAGGATATTTTTCCATTGATTTTTAGAGAGAATGAAAGAGAGAGAAAAATATCAATGTGAGAGAAACACACCGATTGGTTACCTCCTGCATGCACCTGGACCAGGGTCCGGGCCAGGGAGGAGCCTGCAACCTAGGTACATGACTGGAATGGAACCCGGGACCCTTTGGTCCACAGGTCGATGCTCTATCCACTGAGCCAAACTGGCTAGGGCTCTCACTGATGTTTCTGTCTCTCTCCCTCTTCCCCTCTCTAAAATCAATTTTTTTAAAAAGAAGAAGGAATAAAGTGTGAGCTAGGGAAGGAGGACACATTAAATCCAATTAGCTTTTTAATAAGATAGCATCTTTACAAAAGTACTGCAAACGTATCTTTTGTCCCCTTCCCAAGGAAGCAGGACTATCCTCCCGCACACAGTTTGCTCTTCCAGCTCCCCTCCAGGCGGGGAGACCCCAGGGGGAAATCAAGATGCGGCGGGGAGACCCCAGGCAGCGCTAGCACTGGCACTGCTGCCCCCTCGGTGGCAGTAAAGCAGGCTGGCATGGTGCCCCCTGCTCCTAGCTGCCCGCTCTGGTCCTGGGTGGAAGGAGTGGCTACTGAGCCCAGGAAGGCAGGACCAGCCACACACTTGCCACCAAATGAAGCTGGGACCAGAGGGATGTGCTGGCCAGAATACAGGAGGAGGAAGGATCCCCAGTCCCCCGACCCGTGAAGCCACAGGAAGATGCGGACACGTGGCCTGACCAGGAAGGACAAATTCAAAGCCTCCTCCGTCCAGCTAAGGACACAACAGGAATTGGCCAAACATGATGTGTGGGAGGGGTGGTGCTTTGATACAGACGAGCCCTACAAAATGGAACAACCAATCTCTCCCGGGAGATCTAGTGACAGGCCGCAGAAAGCACCCAGGAAGGTGCCTGGCACGCAGCAAGCATGGCAATGTCAGCTTCAGGGACCCTTCCTGCCACCGCCTGGACCACGCGGGACCTTGACCCACCCCAGCTCCTCCGGGAAAAGACCCTCAGCACCGAGGCGAGAAGCCTCACCTAAAGTGTTCACAGTGACCACCTCACTGAAGGCGCTCGTCCCCAGCCTGTTCTGGGCCAGGACGCTGAACTGGTACGCCGTCTCGGGCTCCAGGGTGTCCACGAGCAGCCAGTTGGGTCCCGGGGGCACTGACAGAGACAGCCAGTCATGGGGTCCAAACTGTGCCCGCTTCATCCTGGCCAAAGCAAAGAGAGAGCGAAGACAAGAGGGTGGGTGGGTTATGCTAGAGACACAGAGCGTGCACGGTCATCCCGGAGGAGGCGGCGGCGGCATTGGGCTGGTCTCCTCAGGTTCAAGGAAGAGGTCACAGCCAAGGAAGGATGGCCATTCAATCTCGATGGGCCACGCCTCACAATGCCAGATCACCAGCCGCCGTGGCACCTCCTCTTCTACGAGGGACACGTAAGTGTGAGTCGTGCTCAAAACACCGGTCAAGCCCAGCCGGCAGAACTCAGTGGTCAAGCCGTCGACCTATGACCCAGGAGGTCAGGGTTCAATTCCCGGTCAGGCCACACGCCTAGTTTGCAAGCTTGATCCCCAGTATGGGGTGTGCAGCCAATCAATGAATCTCTCTCATCATTGATGTTTCTATCTCTCTTTTCCTTTCCCTTCCTTTCTTTGTAATCAATAAAAATATTGGGGGGGTGGGGGAGTGGTGGGGACACAAAAAACCACAGGTGAAGTTACCAACTGTGCTTTGGGATCATCTCAGCCTGGTCACAACCCTGAGAGTGAGGATACTGGAAACAAGGCAGGTACCACAACATGACCGTGACGATGAGCCATTTGGCAACTGTAGAATTAAGGACACTCAGGTGTTTTCGGCTGCCCACCCTGGCAAGGACAGCCAACAGTGGGACCTGGAGTCACAGAGGGCTCTCTCAGTCCAACCAGGTTGGAGTCGGATGAGAATGTAAGTCCCGGGTACACGACAAAGATGGCCCGGGATTTGCTTTCCTAAGGCCTTAAGGGTTAGAAACCGCAATGAAGGGGAAGGTCACCCCGACACCTGTTCTACACAGCCCACCACCCAACTCCATCTGCATCTCCTACAGGTGCAGTGCCAGGCATCACCACTGGGAGGAGCCGTCGCCCCATGGACTGAGATGCCATCCAGCCCTCTCAGGCCTGAGCTGCAATTTAGTGGGTGCCCAACAGGTTCCCCTTTAGGTTGAAGGCTCAATGCCATGTATACCCAGGAGTTGAAGCTGGGGGAGTGAAAAGCACAGAAAAAAAACCCAAAACACAAGCGCCAAATGTATGTCAGTACACAGTGAGAGGTCATCAGAAAGAACGGAGGGAAGGAGACCTCCCAACCTTTTCACCTGCCTTTCCCTGCCCAGGCACCAAAGCGAGTGAGCAAAGAGTGAAAAGCAACACAGGTGAGCAGCAGCATGGACAGAGCCACCAGCAGCCAGGGAAACCTCTACTGATGCCCAGACCTGCCCCCTGGCATCCCCAAAGGTGGCTCGGCCACGCCCAACGCAGCCCTAGCGAGGGAGCTGCCCAGCAGTGCCAGCAGGGTGGTTAGGAACCCTGCCCTGCCCCCACCCTGCCAGGGAGGCCTAGAGCTAAGGGGAGGGGTGATCCGGCTGCAGCTCAGAGTTCCCCCAGCTCACCACCTCAGCCCAGCTGGCCTGTCCAGTACTCAACGTGCCCAGGATGTCAGTCTGGGGAATAACCCCACATCCCCATGATGGGAAAGAGCAGGTTCCCTCTCAGCTCTCCTCGCTGTTAGAGGTGTATCGGAGGCTCTCCCTGAATCTCCAGGCTTTTCGGAAGCTGCCTCCTCCCCAGAATTGAGTCTGGCAGGGATGCCCACCCAGGGGAGACAGGTCTCTCCCTTCTCGAGGAAGAAGTGAAGGGTTCAGCCCTCCCCGCTTAAGGATGCCCATGGTGCAGGATGGCAGTCCGTGGCTCAGGAGAGCAATGTTGAGAAGGGCGATCCGAAGGTGACAGGAGGGGCTGGCTGTGGCCTTTCTCTCCCTTTTTCTAACCCTCCGGTCCTCAGCCACATTCTGATCTTGATCCACCCCCAGGTTTGGGCAAGGATGTCAAATCGCTGAATCTGGCTAAATTCATGACACAGAGACACAGGGTCCTAGAGGGAACGTGCATGGCCAGGAAGGGGAGTCCCCCTTCCCACTGGTTCCTGTAACCCCTGGGGAGGGGACCGCAGAATAAAACTCAGCTTCCGCACTTCCGGCTGGGGTGCTGCGCAATGCCCTTGGAGATCAGGAGTCTCCCCCAGACTCCAGAGGACAGGGGGACCTAAAGGCAGAATGGGCCAAGGACACAACAAGGTCACAACAGTGAGATCAGCGTGGGAGAAAGCAGAGGGCAATGGACAGCTCAGGCACCGGCCTCCCAAACCTCTGGCTGGGAATACAGGGGCGCCCAGAGTCCCCCAGATACACACCCCCCCCCACCCCCCAAGACATTAGCCACTGTGTCAACACACCTCTTCCAGTGGGGTCTGGGGAAGAACCATCTCCTCCTCAGAGCCCCACCCACCCAGGCATGGACCGAAGTGGAGGTGGGGAGGGAGAAGCAGAGAGCAAAGCATGCGGGGCTGACTCACAGAGGTCCGTACCAAACTGAGAATGTCTGCTCGAATCCTCCATCGTAGCCGGGCTCCCAGGACACGTTGGCAGTTGTCATGGAGACCTGGACCCGGACTCCGCCTGGGGCGTGGGGGCTGGTGCCTGGAAACCAAGTGGAGACCCTCTCAGACCAAAAGAACTGAGCCCCCCTCCTCTGAGCTGGGCCCCCAAACCTTGCTACAGAGTCCGCAGAGGGCTCCGGCGCCCCCGTGGAGCTCAGGATCAGGGTGGACTGACGAGGAGACGCCCACAGTCTCCAGCACCCGACCACCCGCTGCCCGCGGCCGTACCGATGACGGTCAGGTGGGTGCTGGCAGTGATGCTGGTGACCACGTTGGTGGCGATGCACTCCCACTCGCCGTGGTCCTCCTTGCTCAGGGCTCGAAACTGGAGGCTCCCGCTGGGCAGGGCGCTGTGCTTGCTTCTGCTGGGCTTCCCTACCTTGGCCAAGCAAGGGGGCAAGGAGGAAGGCGGGAGCCGGACACCGGGCAGAGAGGAGGGACCAGGGCGGGTGGAGGAGGAGAGAAGCCACCAACACTTCAGGGTCGAAGGAGCTGCAGGATAGTGCTACACCCCTCTATGCCCTCTGCCAGGGCGCCCTCCAGAAGTCCCCTGGCTCCTCGGCACCTGGTCCCCCAGAACAGACACCCTCCCTCCACCACCCGTCCTGGGAGCTCCGGGGCCCAGAGGTACCTTTCTCCAGGTGATGACAGGGAAGGGGTCCCCCGCAGCAGCACAGGGGATCAGGAGCTCCCGGCCGGCCTCCTGCCTGTACTCCCAGCCAGGTAGCACCGTGAAGTACGGGGGGTCCTGGAGGGAGCACAGCGGGCATGAAGGGGGGCACAGAGGGCATGACGGGCACCCCGCTCGGGGGGCCCTGCAGTCCCAGCCTCACCTTCAGGACGAGCCGCGCGGGAGCAGACTGGCCCATGGTCCCCAAGGTGTTGTAAGGCACACAGGTGTAGGTGCCAAGGGCCTCTTCTGTGGCCTCCTCGATGCGGATGGAGCCGTCCTCCATCAGGGTCCAACCGAGATTCTGCCGGAGGGAGCAGAGCAGGGCTACGGTCAGGGGTGCGCACCAGTCCCCGCCCCCACGGGGCCAGACGTGAGTAGGGCGGCAGGCTGGGCAGAGACAGCTTCCCTGGGGCGGACCCCCATGGGAAGCAGCTCTATGCTTGCCAGAGCTGCCAAGGAGGGTTCCTGGCAGAATCCAGACCCGCAAAGGCAGCCTCTTAGGGTCGGGAGGGTGCATCTCATGGGGACCCCACATGCATCTCTCTAGCACCTTCTCGAACTGCAGGGGGCGGCCGTCCTTGTTCCACTTGACCACGGTGGCCGGTGGCTCTGCGTCCACGGGGCAGCGGATATAGCCGTGAATTCCCACGGGCACATAGATTACGGGGGGCATGTTGAGGACACGGGCTGGGTCTAGAGAGGGCGGGAGAGGAGAAAGACACAAGAGAAGTCAAGAAGAGAGAACTGCAGGCAAGGGTCCAGCCACCAGGCACTCCCCAAAGTACAGCCCTTCACACCCTCCACCCACTCAGTCAAAACACTGCGTCCTCAGTGCTCAACATGGAGCCAAGTGCTGGGCCCACCATGGGTACCAACCTCGGCCTCCTGGATGATGGCCCCGAGGTCACACTGAGCCCCCAGTGCAGGCTGCAGGCGTCTGTCTGCCCGGCCTCCAGGATGCCCAAGCACTTCCGTTCTGAATGCCCAGAGGCACACAGGCCCCAGCTGCCCGCCCCAGACCAGCAGATGTGAACACCGTTGCTGGGTGGGTGGGGCTCTCCTGTCCATTTCCCCAGCCTCTCCCTCGACTCCCAACCTCTAAGTCAACACTCACCACCCCCTCCCCCACCTGCTGACCTCAAGTCCTATCACCGAGCCAGTTGCTCTCTTCACACCCTAAGCCAAGAGGAATGGCTGTCTATGCACAAGGTGGGTGAGGCTGGACCACAGGCGGTCCTCTCTGTCAGTTCTGCTGGCTGCCCTCCCAGGCCTCAGTTTCCCTTCTGTGCAGCTGGAGGGCACCATGAGCCCAGGCCACAGAGCCGACGACAGGCTCCTGGGACAGCAGCGAGAGCCATGCATCCTGCCACATGGGTGAATCATCCATCACCTTTGGATTTTCCCCGACTTCCCTGAGGGCTACCGAGGGGAAAGCTGAGGAACTTCCAGGGAGGCGGAGAGGATGAATGAGCTGGGATCCTTCAAGCATTTGGAGCTCTTCGGAGAACAGCATTACATAAATACCAGGCCGAGGTATATATTTAGACAGAGCCTCCTACTTTTGTGTGGTAGAGGGTGTTATTTTTTTTTTTCTTTTCCTCCAAGGTTTCCAAAGCATTTATGAATGGGAAATACTCTGAACACTGCTTTTTAGCAGAAATAAAGATCCTTGCCTCACCCACCTGAAAAATCACACCCCCAGGTTCTCTTCGAAGGCAGAGAGGAGATACAAAGGGACAGGTGGAAGAGGGAGACGGGAAGCACCCCTGGCTCCGAGGATGGGCCCAATCCTGGAGAGCCATCGCCCCTTCGAGACTCCCCCGCCACTCTCCTGCTGCTGCTGCCACCTTCCGGCACGGATGCCATCAGCCAGCGGGGATGCTGCTCCAAGAGGCATCTCCCTCCCCTTGATCCCTGCGCGTCCAGCACCGAGCAAGGCACACAGTAAGTCGCTCATAATAGCTTCTTGCCTGGCTTTTCCCTACTGTAGGTCTGGGTGGGACAGGCCTGATGTCCTGGGCCTCGCAGCTCTTAGCAACGTGGGACTCCTGATGCAGCACACTGAAAGTCCTCGCTGTCAGTGGCCAGCAGAGTGGAGAGAGGATGCCTGGGCCCCAAGCAGCAGAATCATTGCACAGGGAAGCAAGCAGTAGGAACGGGAGCTTGGGAGTCCCGGGAGACTCCAGGCCCTGCTGGCTCCACCTCCACACTCACGCAATGCAGACAGGCAAGCAAGCACCCAGCTCTGCGAGGCTGGGTCAAAGGTGAGCCGCCTCCTGGGCTCACCCACTGTTCTACTGGTCCCCAGTTCAAGTGCGGACTCCAGGTCTCCAGACGATTACACTCCTCACTCACCCTGCTACTCCCCGCCTTCACCTTCAGTTCTCCTGCCTTCAAGTGTTGGAGAGCCTGTCACCTACAACAGCAACGGGGCCTTTGTGGCCTGAGTAAGAGGACCATCAGCAAATCAAAAGGAAGAGATGCGTCCTCATTGCTCATCTTGCTCTCTCTCACAATGGCTGGCCCGCAGGGGGTGGGGAGCAATGCCTCTGCTGAAGTAGTCAAGATCAGGAAACTGGATGCTTGTGCTCGCAGGAAAGCCCCCCATCGTTCTGGCACGGAGAGCAGCTCCATCATCGGGAGCTCAGCAGCCCGGGAGAAGGAGCACCACGAGGGAGCCAGGTGCTGGCGAGGCTGGACCAGAAGAAGGGCCTGTCCCCCGGTCCCTCACACCGTCCATGCGGATGGAAATCTAAACCCACAAGTTCAAGCTACACCTCAGACACCTGAGAAAAAACACCACCAAGTGTCCCATCCCAGGTGGAGACATGTGTTGGCTGACATCTTGTCCAGAAGGGCTGCCGACCCCTGACCCCAACCTGAGGCTAGCTTGGCGTGAGGTAGCCAGCATGTGGCCCATGGAAGACACCACGAGGCCGGTTTCACCTCAACTAACAGGTGTGGTCCTCTACCTGGACTGTCCTTGCTTCCCATCTCCGTCATTCCTCCTCCCACATCCCCTGACACAAGGCTGCCCTCCAGCCGCCGAACCTTCTGGAACCCCCACCAGCTGAGGCCCTTGCCCTGCCCGTACTCACACTGCACAGTCAGGTAGGCAGAGGCCGAGGGGGAGCGCCCCAGGCTGTTGCTAGGGACGCAGGTGTACTTCCCCGCATCCTCGGGCTTCACCCGGAAGATGATCAGGGTGCCATCGATGAGGATTCGCACTCTCAGCTTCAGGTCACTGTAGAGGAAATGAGGCGACGGGCGGGGGTGGGGGGTCAGGATCTTCCATGAACATCATGGGAGCGACACATCCTCTCACCCCCACGCACGGGGAAGAGCCCAGTGAGCCCTTGCATCCCAGGGCCCCTCAGTGCAGACACTGGCCCTCACAGGTGGGACCTGTGCTCGGACCACCCCCTTCAAGTTCCTGCTCAAAGGCCTGGCCCCAGGGCCCCTGGCTGCTCCGCCCCCAGGAGGTCTGGGCAGGGTGCTCACTTCTGAAAGTAGACATTCTCATCCTGCCAGTACCAGGTGTAAGTGAGGTTGCCGGGATACGCCTCCGCCCGGCAGGTAAGCAGAGCATCCTGGGATATGTTGACAGTGATGTTCTCAGGAGGGGACACTATGAAGGGAGGCCCTGGGGACACAGGAAACAAGCATGACCTCACCACGTGGGGCCAGGGAGAAGGGAGCACCAGGGCCTCTGGGAAGGGTGCTCAGAACTGAAAGGGAGACTGGGGGGTAGTACTGGCCCGAGTTAGTAGCACAGCTCCAGACCGTTGTCATGGAGACGCTTCTAGCTGCTGTCAGGTCCTTACTCTTCCCTACAGGTCCCAGAGATGCAGATGGTGCTGGATGTGGCCACAGTGTGCCCCACCCCCTGGCACCTATCTGTCCCCTGCCTCCATGCATTTCCCCTCTACAAATGCTAGCCATTTATCTCACACACACACACACACACACACACACACACACACACACACACAGAATCCTTCTGCCCATCTTCTCTCCAAGAGCCATGAGGGAGGCCCCCAGGGCTCTCTCAGTCCAGAGCAAGGAGCAATGCTGCCCTAGAGGAGCAAGAGGCGTGCCCTGCTCACCCAGCAGAGGGTAAGAGGGCGCCCAGGGGAGGACTTGGGGGACAGAGCAAACAGAGGGGAGAATCCCCATCCCCGGGCTGGCTTTCCAGGCAGGCTGCAGCTGCCCTGGCCGGCGCTCTCCTGCAGGAGGCCAGTCCTCCTCCAAACTGCAGAGGGAACTCTAGCCCAGTGCCACTCAGCAAGCCAGCCAGCAGACAGGCAGGAAGAGCTGACCAGCAGTCCTGGCAGCCCGGAAAGCCACCACCAACCACCGGCAGCAGGCAGAGGCAGAGCAGGTGGGTGGGCTCAGCTCAGAGAAGAGACCTGGCCGCCCAGATGCCGCCCCTCTGAGCCCTCTGGGCCCCGGGCAGGGCAGCCCAGCATTTCCAGGTGCTGCCCGTGCAGACCCCAGCTCCACCAAGTGCTCAAATGCCCTCAGTTATTTAAACGCTACCTCAGCAGATACAGAAACCCACCCAGCACGGGCTTCATGCCACCCGGATAACAGCCACAGCAGGCCACCGTGGGAGCTCCAGGGTGAAGTCCATGGTATTTGGGAGGTGCCCTGCCCGGCCCCTCACAGCTGCCCACTTCCTCCTGCTGTGCCACCTACACTCTGCAGGGCTCCCAGAGAAAGGCCCAGAGCAGAAAGCAGCCGGGGAGACCGGTTACCTTGCACAAGCAGGTGGGTGGTGTGGACTGCCTCTCCCTGAATGCTGTATGCGCGACAGGTATAGGCACCTCTGTCCTCCCGACTGACCGACGTCACCGTCAGGCTCCCGTCACTCACCTGGGACCACGGGGAGAGGAAGCTCAGCACCCACCTGGAGCCCACCCAACACCACCCTCAGGCAGAGGGGGCCTCGGGGCTCACACACTGGGGGAGACGGAGGCAGGGGCCTCATTTTTCATCTCCCTCCAACAACAGACCCCAGCCAGTGCGCCTGCTGATCCCCTCTCCCTTTGTGCCTCTGCCACTGGTCATGTGGAGTGGGAGACGGCCTTGGAGAGGGAGAAAGAGGCAAAGGGATGGGGGAGGGAGAAGGGTGGGCAGTGGCCCCACCAACGGCACACCTACCTGGTATTTCCCACTAGCACCTAGGAGTGTCCCCTCCTTGAGCCAGGTGACAATCGGCTTGGGGTTCCCAAAAGCTGTGCAGGTCATGGTGACACTGCCCCCCTCCTTGGCCTCAATGTACTGGGGGGGTGTTTCTGTAAAGGTGGGGGGAGCTGCAAAGAGACCGCAAAGGCTCAGGGTGTGATTGGAGGGCTGTCATACCCCCAAAAACCCCCATCAGCCACCGCACCCACACCAGGCACTGCCCGTGCAACCATTCCTCGTAGGCTCATGCCTGACCTTCTTCAAGGTGTACGGAAAGAAGAGGGAAGGCAGAGACGGGTAAAATACTCTGCCCATGAGCCTTACACTGAGAGAGGAAACCTGGAATTCAAAGTGTGTCTGGCTGTGTCCAACCACTACACATTTTCCATCGTATTTGGCAAATTGTCAACAAGCCCACGTTTGCTGAGCATCTGTAGGGAAGCACTGAGCTCAGCACTAAGACGGTGACAGACAAGACAGCTGTCCCCAGACTCCCACAGAGCCCGCAGCTGCTGCCACCGGCTCCACAGACGTGCCGTCACCCTCCCTTTCACCTCCTGACCACGCGTGGCACGCTGCTTCCTCAGCTCCAGTCCGGCCAGGCGTGACACCCGGACACTCGCCGTCTGCTTCCATCGGGCCATGAGGGCCAGGCTGTCGCCTTCCTAACTCTCCTCTAATTATGCCAGGCTGCCCCCCTATGCCGCCACCTGCTTGGAGTTTTAACTAAAATGCCATCGCATTGGGCAAAGCTTTTAAGAGACTTGGTTGCATTCTCCAAGCTGCCTGTAGAGGCAGTATGGTCAGTCTTGCAGCCTGGGGCCATCCGTTCTCTGAACACCAGCCCTGCAAGGCCCCAATGCCACTCTCATCTCATCTGGAGGCATCCAAAGCTCAGGACCAAGTTCATGCACCAGCCTGCCCCTTGTTGGGTAACCCCGGGCAAGTTACTCAGCCTCTCTGGGCTTTTCCGGAAGCCCCCACCCTCCAGAATCGGTGTGAGAAATAAATCTGTGTGAAGAAAGGATCTTGTAAAATGTAAGCACGCACAATCACCATCATTTCCTCAGGAGCCTCTGAAGCAATGAGAAGATGTCAGGGCATTTTAGTCTTGGTGCCCCTCTGCCAAACTCGTCTACCATATTTTCCCCTTCCCTGTGCTATAACCATATTACCTTCTTTGTCTACCACAAATGTGCCAAGAACATCCAACCGCAGGGCCTTTGCGTGTGCTGTCCTCGCTGCTTGGAGCTCCATACAGTCGTCTCTCCTTTAGCTCACGCAGTTCTGTGCTAAGATGCCATCTGGCCTGGCCTGGTCAGCCTAACTGAGGTGGCACTTCTAGCATTCCCTGCCCCTTAGACTGTTTCATTTTCTTCAAAGCACTTACCACTCCTCTCCTTAAGAAAGCACAGATCTTGCCTAGCCAGTGTGGCTCAGTGGTTGAGCATCAACCCATGAACCAAGAACTGGTGACCAGTCTGATTCCCGTTCAAGGCACATGCCCGGGTTGCAGGTTCAACCTTCAGTAGGGGCAGCTGATTGATGAGGTTTCTCTTTCACTGAGAGAGCAGAGATTTTTTTCCACAAATCCTACTATATGCCCAGCTTTTAGCATAGTTCCTAGCACGTAATAAGAGTACTCCACAAACATCTGTTGAATATATGAATGAATGTATGAATGAATGAGTGTGCATACACATGCACACACCTACAGACCAACACATAAAACTCCTTAAAAGCATGAACATGACCATTTTCTTCCATAACCTTCTAAGCCCTTAGCGTGGGCACACAGGGACACTGGAGGAGTGAATGCTGACTGAATTAAGAAGCACATCCATCACAAACACACTCTACAGACATCCTCAAAGGAGGCAATTCTCATCCAGTGTCTCCTACACCAGCAATAATGGCAAAAATCGCCCCACCCCTAACAAGGGGGTCCTGTCCCCCGCACTCCCAGGCCTCCCCTCCTGCCCTGAAATGTGCCCTCACTTCCTCAAGCACCCCCACCCCTTCACCCACTCAACCTCCCCCCCCCTTCCCCCCGCCCCTGTCCGGCACCACCAAGCCAGCCCCTGGAAACACAGTTAGTACAACCACAGCCTCCACTGCCTCTGGCACCAAGCTTAAAAGAAAGATAATAAATTAAATTATGTCCTGAAGTGACAAATTAATTACTAATTACATAATTACTTTTATTATTTAGGTGCTAATCAGAAAAGTACTTTGAACAATTTCAAGTTTTCAGGAAAATAATGGTTGGAGTCTGGATTATTTACGGAATTCCGTGTTAGCTTGCCAGCTGCGCTTCCAGCTTCGTTCTTTCTTACAAGTGCCCTGTAATTACTGGTGCAGGTTAGATAGGGGCTGGCCTGGCCTCCACAGAGCTCAGCAACCTAGAGGGAGGCTTGGCAGAAGGGGATTGGGGGGTAGTTTTTAGGTATTTTTTTGTATATGATAAAAGAAATAAATCGGGTTTGTTTCCACACAACTGATGTTCCAGAGAACACAGGAGAAGGAGACGATTTGTAATTCTAATTTCCCGCTGGCCTTTCTATTTTCCAAAGGTGATCCCTGTCAGAAAATGCCTGACACTGAACATTCTAGTTTGGAAGCAACGGCGTGGTGGGCACTCCAGCCTCCGCAGCCAGGACAGCATGTACGCCGGGATGGAGGGGAGCAGAATAAAGGAGAGAGGTCTCCCGTGCACCATGGGAGCTGCCCATGTGCTGTTCTGCCTATTTGGGAGGTAGGCTCTTTGGTAAAGGCAGGTGAGGAGCCTTCTTCTAAAGCCTGGAGCAGATGGTGCACATCCTTAGCTTCCCTGCCGAACGCTTCTATACGCGATGAACAGCCTGCCTGCGTTCCCTGAGCCCTGAGCGTCAGCTCGCCTTCCTCTGGGCTTCCGCGCATGCTATTCCCTCTGCCTGGAGCTCTCTTCCCCACCGCCCCACCCTGCACCTGGCTCACTCCCCGTCCCTGCCCGGGTCTCTCTCTGCACACGGTGGTTCCCCCAGAGATGCTCCCAAAGTCCATGTGGCAACTGTCTCTGCCCACCACTGCGCCCCCAGAGCCTGCCACAGAGCGGACACTGGGATCTGGGATCTGGATGGGTACTCACTGGTGATGCACATGCACTTTCACACTATGACAGCCCCCGGCATCCTGCAGCCTACAGCCTGAAGCACTTCCTGTGTCACCGTATATCCCTGCGGACACGTTCTCCTCTGGTTTCATCTGTGTGTGTTTTATTTGTTTTTCTCTCGAGAAGGGGGATGGCCAGCATCTTACGCGTAATTACTCGCGTTATCGCAAACCCTTCAGACACCGGGCCAGGCACGCTCTCACGCTGCGCTGCCCTCAATCCTCGCGGCGGCTTTGCCAACAGGCATTGTGTTTGGCGGCTGAGAAAACCGCGGCTCGGAGAGTTGACTTAAGTTGCCCGGGATCAGACAGCTACCGCGTGATGGATTCAGGACATAAACCAAGCCTCCGCAGCCGCCTCTCGTTCCGTGCCAGTTCCACTCCGAGCAATTGGGAATCCCCGAAGAAGCGACTCCCACTCGTGCAGACGAAGACAGAGGCTGTACCAGAACACACAGCCCTACTTCCTGCCCCACGCGTGTCTGCGGACGGACGCCTGGGTCTCAGGCTGCTGAATGAACACCAGCAGGCGGGTGGGAGGAGCGGAGGTGCCGGGGAAGCTGAGCCGGTGCAGGAAAGGGCACAGGCGAGAGAGAGAGCAGCGTGGGGACTCCTGGCTCAGCCTGCGGTGAGGCTTTCAGCCGCGGTGTGCCTCTCTAATTATGTTTTGCTGGGGCTAATATTAAGATGAGTTTTCCTTCCCGGCACACACAACAGCTTGCAGCCAAAGGAGGTGACTCAAAAGCTTGCCTGGTGGTAGGGACAACCCACCCAAGATGTAAAACCAGCCTCCATCAGTCTCTGGGGGAACTGGCTGCCGAGAGCCGGCTGCATCGAATGGGTCCGGCAGCCTGGACCAACAGGGATCTCGGCTGCCACCTCTAAGTCTGCTCTTCCCAGAGGTCAGCGCTCTGGCTAAAACGCTCTGAGCTCCCAGGACCCTGGGTGGGTTGACCCGAGCCCTGGGAAGATGACCCAGCCCCACAGTGGACAGATGGAGCTGTCCCTCGGGGCAGATCAGGGCAGGTCGATGCTGAGAAGCATCCGAGCAGGACGCCATCCATCTCTCTCCCGACCACGGCACCTCCAGTGGCAGACATCAGAGCCATATGCACCCAGCTGTGTGCGCTCGCCCCAGCACATGCGCTGTCGAAGCCTCAGGAACCAGCCTCGTGCCTGCAGCACAGCGTGGCTGAATATTTTTCGCCAAACACTGATTAAGGAGGAATGAGGCTCTAGCCAGAAAAAAAGACACAAACATCTTTTCCCCACACACAATGGGGTTCACGCTCCTTCAAATGTTCCCCACAGTCCCAGCTTCTCCTGCCTCCTCCAGAAGATCCCTTCTCTAGTCCGGACACCCAGTGACACAGGGGGCTCTCCAGCCGGGGAGACCTGGCCCCCAGCCTGGGCCAACACAGAGCCAGCAGGCCCCCCTGCAGCCCCGCATGGGCCTCCTCAAATCATTTAGCCGGAGCTCTACAGAACTGATAGCCATTAAAACTTCCTCTTCCCAGGATCCTCCTGGTTTAGGAGATGGTAAACCAGGTCCGGGCAGGGGCTGAACCGGGTGCGCTCAGCTTCGTCTTTCCAGCATCTGGTGCAGAGCGTGGAGCACAGTAGGACCTCAGCACATCTCATGCAAATGAATGCATTTCACAAGGAACCAAAATGTCACCCTGCAAAGGGAATTCTGGGAACTCCACTGGAGGGGAGGCACTGGCAGGGTCTCTCCGAGGCTGGGAATGGTGCCTCCACAAAGCCTTAGCCCCGGTTTCAAGAACCAAATCACCGTCCCCCTCACCCCCTTCCCCCCACAGCACACTCTGCCCCGCGCCCAGGCTCCCACTATCCCAATGTTCTGGGGAGGCAGCTGAGGGGTATGGAGGGGGCCCAGCATGCTGAGGTTCCTCCCTGCAGCAGGGACTGGGAGTCATCGATGGGTTCCGCCCGAAAAGAGGCTCCTGCGGGCCCCCAGCCTGGGCGGGGACCCGTACTCACCGTTGATGGTGAGGTGCACCCAGCTGCCGTTGTGGAAGGTGTCATACTGCTGGTCCAGCATGAGCACTTTGCACTCGTACCAGCCCTGGTCCTCGGAGCGAACCTGCTCCAGCCGCAGCGAAGCTTTGTCGTGAAGACTCGCTCGGCCTGGGGACAGGCAGACAAGAGCCCAGGGGTGAGGCCCACACCTCGACACCCCCACCCCAGCTAAAGGCACGGGCCCCATCATCACCTGCAGGCCCAAAATAACAGCTGGCACCGACCTCCGGCTGCAGGTGGCAAAGGAAAGGGCATAAAGCCTGGGCCATGGAGCCTCGGTCCCTCCCACCCTCCAGCCTGGCGGGCCCCATCCCAGCTGCAACTGCGGCCCTGCTCTTGGCACTGAGAAGCGCTCAGGCCTTAGAATACGTCCCTTCTTTTGGGCCTCACTTTGGACAAAGGGAAGGCATGAGGGATACAGAAAGGGGGGAAGAGGGAGGGAGAGAGGGAGAGAAAGGGAGGGAGAGGGAGGGAAGGAAGTTGGGTGTCCAGGCCCCAGACTTCCATTCAGATGGAGAAACACCCCTATCCCAGCTGGGCCCAGCATGCTGAGGTTCCTCCATGCAGCATCTGTCTGGCAGAGGGAAGGCAGGCTGGGGACCAGGGTGCTAGGACCCTTCCCAGTCCTGATACCAGGAGCTGAGACCACAGGCCTACGAGCTGGAGAGTGAGGAGAGGGCTGGCCAGCAGAGCAGACACCCAGTGGCCTCCTTACCTCTACCCTCTTCCCCCCAAAAGTCATCCTTGTCTCACTACAAGTGTGCCTCACAGCACCACAAGGTAACTTTGCAGCAGGAGCCCAGCAGAATGGGGAGCAGCCCCCTTTCTCCAGGACAAGCGAGGAGGCCCAGGCACCCTCAGGTCCTCTCTCCCCTCACCCACCACCTCAGCCCGCCTCACTCCAATGTCACAACCTCCTCTGCCTTCCTCCTTGTCTCTGCACTGGCAATCTGCCTAAAACCAGACTATCAAAGCCAACCAGGCCAAAGAGAGGAAAGGAGACACAGGCGCAGGAGGGAGGGAGAGAAGCGGAAGTTTTCCGAGAGAAAAGCAGTGCAGACCTCAGGAGCCAGAAGGGAAGATAAAAGCAGTGTCCTGCCAGGTTCCGCTCATCCTTTCAACCCCAACGCACAGGCACGCACACGTTCACACATGCACACAGACACACGCGCTCACACTCACATGCTCACACGTGCACGCTCCCACCCCATCCCACTCCCCCACCCCCACCCCAAGGCTGGCGGCAGGCACAGGCAGTGACTCAGTGTGGCCGCTGCTGGCAGGAGCAGCTGTGGCAGAGAGCAGGCGGCCACCACAGGCACAGACACACACAGACACCCAGGAGGCCCAACTTCAGCGCCAGAGGGAGGTGTGGGTACAAGCAGACACAACGCCACAGCTGCACAAGACCAGGCTCAATGGTTGTGACTCAGCTCCTCCCGCACAGAACTGCCCTCCCAGCCTGCTTCCTGTCTGCACCACCTCCTCTCCCTCTCTCCCCACCACGGAAGCAAACCTACCAGAGTCCAGAGGACAGGAAGGAAGAGGCAGAGGCTGGAAAACAGCTCTCAGACCAGTGAGAGGAAGGGAGGAGGCAATGGATAAAGCAGGAGGAAACTTAACCACGGGGCCCGCAGGGGACGGGGCAGCCGAGCCAAAGCCAAGGACAGAGGCGAAGTGGCCAGGCCTTACCTGCATACTCAGGGTCCACATGGGGTGGGTAGTAGCCAAACTTGATGAAGATGGGGATGGGCACCCCGAACTTGAACCACTCCACCACATAGGGCGGGGGCTGCCCTGTCACCGGGTGGATCACGTCGCATCGCAGAACCACGGCCTCGCCAGCTCGCGCTGTCACAAACTCGGGCTCCTCTCGCAGGCCGTGGGCAACTGATGGGACAGCAAGGCTGGGGTTTAGGAAAAGGAGGTGGCAGGAGGTCCTGCCCTGGCGACCCCAGAGGCAGCCCCCTGCCCAAGTTCAAAGACCTCTGCCCTCTCCCCGGGGCCAGCTATCCCGCAGCCCTCCTCCTGAAAAGGAGCTCACTCACTCCGCAGAGGGTCCCCAGGGTATCCTCCACCTCCCCCAACCCCGTCCCGGCCATGAGGCCATGAACCTCAGGAGGAGGGTGAAGAGCAGAGGGAGGCAGCTCTCCGCAGTCCTGCAGGCCAGCCCTTCCCTCCCCAAAGAGCAGAGCCATTTCCAAGCCCTCCCCCAAGAATTCTTAGGGCCTGGACACTGAGAAGGTGGAGGGGCCTCAGCAGACCCGTGGCCAGGGCCGCCATGGCCGAGGGTAGACTCAGACTATCTATCTCCCTGCACTGGAGGCTTCGCGCCAGAGCCTGGTGGCGCTCCCTGGCTCCTCCCGTCCCTCCTCCTACACCACCCCGCTCAGTCTAATGTTGGCAGCACAAAACAAGAGTGCTCCACGCAGGAGCAGGGAATCCCTACAAGCTGAGCAGAGGCTGCTAGGGGCAACACTAGAGAGAAAAGCCCAGCCAGGCCCCTCCTCCCACTCCTGGCTGGGCCTGCAGTGGGTGGCAGGGGGAGCTCCAGTTCTCCCGGTTTCAAGCCCCAAACCTGTCATGCTGCAAAGCCCCAGATATCACTATTAAGAGAACAGGATGCTGGGGACAAGGGGGGCCCTAGGGCCGGCTAACCCCAGCCAGCTGAGGGGGAAACACCATTCCGTGAGCAGAGGACAAACCATCCAGGTGGACAGGGTGCACCCACCCTCCTGGCAGCGGAGGGGGACACAGTGAGAAGACCCACCCGCCCCCCAAGCTGAAGGTTAACCCGGACACTGCTTCACACTACCAGGCTCCTGGACCCCTAAACATGGGAGCCCCTACATGAGGAGTGTGGCCCCCACTTCCCGCCGGACACTCCTCACTCCCACACCGGTCTCCGTGCCCACAAAGTCACCTTGCCCAGCTTACTTCCCCACCAAAGGGACAGCAGAGGCAGCCTCCCCAAGCTGCCTTCCCTCACACCACCCAACACAGCCCGGAGGAGAGCCGGGCTTCCCCTACCCCACCTGCCTCCCCTCCCGGTCCTTGCAGGCAGCACCATGGACAGCAGCTGCTCAGTGAGGCTGAGAACCAGGGAGCCGTTGGGCCCCGCCCACTACTGCATGGAGCAGATGAACAGAAGAGCAGTCTGTCCCTCTGTCTGTCTGTCAGCTGCCTCTAGTTCTTCATACACCTCTGGCCCCTGTGTGCTCCTGCCTGTCTCCTTCCCTTGTCTTTGTCTCCCGTTCATGTCTCTCTCTCTCTGTCTTTCTCTACTTGTCACTGCCTCTGCAATGTCTGTCTGCTCTCTTTCTTGCTCCTCCATGTCTCTGTGTCTCCAGCTCCAGCTCCCACTCTCTGCGGGTGATTCTGTCTGCTTTCCTGTCTCCCTCCCTGTTCCGATGTCTCTATCAGAGTGTGTGTGTGTGTGTGTGTGTGTGTGTGTGTTGGGGGGCACGTGAATTTCTGTTCCGGCTGTGCATGGGGATGGGGTTCTGCCTGCTTTATTTCCCATGTGGACCTCTGTGTGTGCTTGTGTGTTCCTGTGTTTCATCGCGTTCTGTGTCTGGCTGTGTGTCTCCCTGTGTCTCTCCTTCTCTTCCTCCCCCTCCCCCACCCCTCTCCAGCTTCTCCCCTGCAAGTTGCAGAAGGAGGAGGAGGCAAGACCTTGCAGAAGCTGATTGGCTACCAGTGACATCACTGTTTTCTAGAGAAAGAGCTAAGATCACAGAGTATTTTTGGAGCAGAGTGTTGCACTCACCTGCCTGAGGCCCCAGCAGGTTTCCCAGCTCCCCACCCCCAACCGTGCTGCAGACTCAGTTTGAATTCCAGCCCCTCAGGGAAAGCATGAAGAGGGCCCTGCTGAGCGGTGCCTCCCCCACAACCCCAGGGGCACCCAGATCCGGCAGGGCCTGCCTCCAGTCGTCTAGGAGCACAAAGGCTGATCTGCACCCAGGAGGAAAGGGCTACCACTGAGAGGGAGTCAAGTGCGTGTGCATGTGTGTGTATGCATGTGCATGTGTGTTTAGCTCTTGGCAAAAGGACCCGTAGATGGGTGTGTGGACAGGTGTGTGCACATGTGTGTGCAGCACATGCTTTCCAGGAAATACAGAATCAGGGGGGAGGGAGAGGGAGGAGTTATTCCCAGGGGTAGGTTTCCTGGTGGGGGGGTACAGACACTGTCCACAGACAGGGGCTCCTTCCCAAGGCCTTGGCACTAGAGCCTAGGGCAGGAGAAAGAGGGACCGAGCACTGCTGGGCAGGTGGCTGCCCACCTCTACCAGTGGGCTGGCCCTAGAGCTCTTGGGCTACTGGGCTGGAGGGCTCTGTGGGGCAAGCCCAGGAGGGGGGTGGGCTCTGTGCTCCAGCATGGGTTCCCACAGTGCCAGCTGCTCATTCACACCTGCTGCTGCCACATTCTCACCGCATGGCAAGGAGGCAGCCTGGTCCACCCCATCCCCAGCCAGCCCCTGGGCCTGGGTGGCCTGGCATCCAGAGAGGCTGGCTCCCAGCCAGGCAGCCACATCCCCATTTCTTCTCAAGGTCACAAGCAGCTGAAAGAGGACACGATGAGATAAGCATCCGAAAGATGGGGGAAAGGCAAGAGATGGAATTCCCCAAGAAGAAGGCAGAGACCCTGCCTGGCCTCTGAACTCAATCCCACCCTCCTGGCTTTCTGAATCCTGAACTACTTATCAGCTTTCTTCATTTCCACACACACACACACACACATACACACACACACACACACACACACACCCCGCCACATGCACTCGCTCTCTCCGTCACCACAAGCACTTCCCCTAAGCCGGATTTTTTTTCTGAGCCAGAACATGTCTAATAAACACTTTCTACCAAAAAGGGTGATAAAAAAAAAAAGGCAGCAGCAGCAGAGGTTAGCAATGAAGAAGGAGAGGGGCTTGACAGAGGAGAGACGGGGCCTCAAACCCAGGGGACACCCACTGAAGCCAAAGTGGGAAAGGGATTCAAGAAACAAGAAAGGAGAGACCCAGAGATGGGAATAATGTAGATCAGACAAGCAGGGCCCAGCCAGCCCAAGGGGAGAGAGGGGAGATGAGAGAGGGGTGGGGGGAAGGAAGGGGCGGGAGAGAACACATAGCAGGACTCACGGGCACTGAAGATTCAGCCATGGGGACATACACACAGGCCTTCAAAGCACCCAGAACCAGGAGGGCAGCAGAGCTGAGGCTGTTCCTCCAGGGAACAGGTGGGCTTCTCCCAGCAGAGCAGCCTGGAGTAACTGCCCATTGGCTCTGAAGGGAGCAGGAAGGAAAGAGGAGGGAGGGACAGAGGGAGGAGGAAGAGGTGGGAGGGAGGAGGGTAGAGGGAGGAGGGCGGGACAGGGAGAGGGAGAGGCAGGGATGGGGGGGAGGGAACAGAAAGATGGATGTGACCTGAGGTGGGGAGAAGCTGCAAGAAGGACAGAGACACCCCCCCTCCCCACCCAGATCCCCTTCCATATCACAGAAGCCTGAGCAACCCAAAGAGAGGGGTGAGGACAGGGGAGGCTGTGAGATGTCCAGGATTTAACAGGCCCGGTTCAGAGACGGTAGAACACGGCAGGGCCCCAAGCCGAGCCCAGCCCATCTGCACCTTGGGGCTCTGCCAGTCCCCCGTGGAGCTGTTTCACCCCAGGAGGGGAAAGGGGGCGGGGGCCGCAAAGGAGGGTGAGGCGGCATCTGTGGTCTGGCTGACCTTTGAAAGCCCACATGGTACAAATCTCCTGCTCCCGGGGCCAGGTGGTCCACGGCGGGGGCCCGCGTCCACGGCTGCCATTGGATCCCGTGCGCACAGAACCATGAGGCCACGAGGGGACCAGGGGGCCTGGCTTGGCCGCACACCTGACATTCACAACCTGGAGCTCTCCCAGAGTAGGCTGCGGGAGGCAGGGCACTGGAGTGGGAGACACTCGTAATACCAAAGAAGGTACAGGTGCCAAGCAGAGCTTCCGCTTCCCCTGCTCACCTGCCATATGCCAGGCTCTGCGCTGGGCATGCACCACGGAGCTCACTTAATGCCCACGATGCCCACCTGGCAGAAGCACTGCCATTGCCATGTCAGCCAGGTCACCCAGGGGGCCGCTGGGACAGCCTGCATGCCCTCTTGGCTTCACTCGTTCATACCACCTGCCGGCCACAGGCCAGGCACTGAGGCCTCTCCCCACTGCACCGAAGCACACCCTCCCCTCACACTTCCCCACCCCCCACGGCATGCTCTGTAAGGCTCTCCAGCCAGACTCCCTCGACCAGGCCCCAGCCAGAATGACAGGGTGGGCACTGCAGAAGTCAGCTGGCTGGTGCCTGCTCGGAGCTCAGAGTCACACTACCTGGCCCAGGAGCCTCGGCTGGATCTGGCAGCGCCGCTGCTGCTGCTGCCGCTGCCGTGGTGAGGGGAGACCATGAGTGAGTGCTGCCCTCAGGAGGCCAGGTCCTCTCTGGAGCCTCCTCCCGTCTTCCTGCTCCTTCTCCCCTCCCCCTCCTCCTCTGGGCACCAGACTCCCAAACCACAGGCCTGCTGTCTAATAATACGAGTGGCAGTCACTGCCACCTCCACTGCCGCCTAAAAATAATCTCTGCTGAGCCAAAAAAGGCACAGCCTCTGGTAGCCCCCAATCATCCCCCCACACACACACCAGCCAGGAGACTCCCGGAGACGCCAGGGAGCGGGACCTCAGGCGCCCAGGGGGGCACTTGCCCAGGAGGGCGTGAGGCAGGTCCTCAGAGAAGTCCCCGCCTCCTATGGTCTCCCCACCAGTGTGCTCACAGCCTTCGGACCCTACTCCCCTTCAAACCTCTCAGGGAGGAAGTCAGAAGTCAGGTGGGCCCCGACTGACCTGGCCAGGAAAGTGTCCCATCTTCTGA